GCTCTTTCAAAGGACCTGGATCTGGGTTCGAGTCTCAGCACCTACATGGTGGCTCACAACTGTCTGTAATGCTAGTTCCAGGGGCCCTAATGCCCTCTTCTGGCCTCTTGGCACCAATACACACAGCATCTACACACAAACACACACAAATAAAAATAGATTTAAAAACAGATATTTAATAAGTGGATAAAACCTCAGAAATATCAAAGGAGACTCCTCAATACTAAAAAGTCCCACAAAGGCCCAGTCATGAGTGTAAAGGTGTATCATATACACCCTTTCCATTACACAACAGGGTCTCTGGGAAACTTAGAGGTGGAGAATTGTTATCTCAAAGAGGTGTGGAGACTCGCTTCTGTGCAGAGGAATGAGCATGAATGAGTCACGTCAGTTTTCCCTGGAAGCACATCAGTTTTCCAGGGAATTCTGCTGATAGAAATGCCAACTTGGAAGGAGGGAGACTGGACCTTTGGAATTCTGCTAGCAGGAATTAGGCAGTAAACAGTGCAAAGGGGTTCGTGCTTTTAATACTGTTACTCCAAAAGCTGTGATAGGAGCTGCTAATTGAGGGAGCACTTGGGATACAAACTACTGTCTCAGAGGGGAAGGGGGGAGGAAGAGAGAGAGAGAGAGAGAGAGAGAGAGAGTTTTCTCTAAGCATGATGACTCATGCTTGCAATCCTAGCATTTAGCAGGGTATGACAAAGGAGCATTGTGAGTTCAAGGACAGCCACACAGTGAGCACTAGCCTATGCTACCAGTGGCCCTATCTAAAAGAAAGAATGAGCCAGGGAGACTTACATGTAGTGTCATAAAAGATAGATTCATTATGTAACGTTCAAAAGCACAGCTAGATATAACCCCAGCACTTTGGAGATGAAGACTGAAGGGTCAGGAATTCAAGGTCATCTTCAGTTACGTAGAGAGTTCCAGACTATCCTGGGCTACATGAGACATGCTGACTCAAACAAGTAAAGAAAAGTAAGACAAAATATAATAAAGGGATAACAGCACAATGCCATGTTTTGAGTTATACCTGCATAAACGAACTCTGCTGGCACCCACTCACAATCCCAACACTCTGGAGGCTTGGGGGAGAAGGATTACAAACCCGAGGGCATCGTGGGCTACACAGTGAGATCCTATTTCAAAAGGCAACAGTAGGGCCGGAGACAGGGGTCAGCGAGAAAAGCAACTTCCGGGTTCAGGCGAAAGACCCTGCCTCAATGCAGAAGGAGGAGAGCTACGACTGAGTGAGGAAAACACCCAGTTTTAACCTTTGGCCTCTAAACACACACGGGCATACATACATGCCTACCTGCTCACGTGTATGTGAATGTGCGCACACACAAATCCTATAAGTGTATTTGTATGTAGTGCACGTATGTAGGAATATGTGCAGAGAAAAATAATCCACACCAACCCGCTCATAACGATTACTTACAGGGAGCGGGACAGAGATGCTCCTGTTTACTATAGTATATACTTCAATTTCAGGTCTTTTTCTGGTTAACAAAGCAAAAATCACTTATGAAAACACACTTTTGTGTATGCACTCCTCGTCACATGCTTTACGGATAACATTAAATTTGTATTTTGTAGGCATGCAAGTGCAGCACAGGCTTTTTAGGGACAGTCTGCAAACTTGACTGTGCCTGCCTCAGAGAAACTCAATGAAGCCAAAAATCCCAGGCCTGTCAACAAGAACCTGTTGTGCCACAAAGTGCCGCTAGATGGCAGACCTCACCCAGTAGCCCTCTGCTACCGTGGTTCCTCGTCTAGCGCATCATGAGTATGGCGTCACAACGAGCCTTGCAAGCTTCTCTGAGCAGACCCAGAGTTCCTCCTGCACAGAGTTAGCTCTTGGTTTATTTTGGACCCATAAGTGTGAAGTCCTGGCCCGAACCCCTAGGGCAATATTTTTGGAATGGATAGATGCATTTATGTATATGTCTCTGCATACTATTAAAAACCTCACAATCAGCGTCATAGCATCCTCCTTGAAAAGCAGAGAGGAGCTGGGCACGGATCTTGCCGCCAAGCCTGTCAGCCTGAGTTTTCCACCCAGAATCCACGTGGTAGGAGAAAAGAGACACCCACAAGCTGCCTTCTGAGCTCCGCAAGCAATCTGTGGCTTATCTTCACACACGGATAAATGAATGAAAAAGTGTAAAAAAACGAGCCCCTAAGGCTGTCCTAGAACTCACTATGTAGATCAAGCTTGCCTCAAACTCGAGGTCCACTCGCCTCTGCCCTCAGTGTGCTGGGATTAGAAGCATGAGCCATCACACCCGCCAAGCTTCCTGCTCAAGGTACCACCAAATAACTTTGTTTCCAGCTGGCTAGATGGCTCAGTGGGAAAAGGCACTTGCTGCCAAGCTTGGAGACCTGAATTCGATCCTCAGGACCCACGCCGTGGAAGGAGACACCTGATTCCTCCGCGTTGTCTCTGGCAGAGAGCAGGCTTGTGGCGCAGTGAGTAAATGCAAATGTCCCTGAAAGGCATTCACAGCGCTTAAAAACTGCCAAATGGCGTGACCTGAAAACCCCAAAGGCCTTCTACCTCCAGCATACCGGGATGATGAGATGTCAAGTGTTCCGGGGAAGCACTGGGCTGCCACCAGCGAGGGCTGGATCAGAGGTGCAAACCTCGACGCCCAGGGCCATTTATGGTGAGTCCCATTTTACAGGGAGTAGCTGGGATCCAGGGAAAGGGGACTCATCCAGGGTGACGCAGTGCATTGCAGCTCAGGCAGCCCAGATCCCGCCATCCTGCTTCTCCACAGACCGTTCAAACTCCCCGTGCTACAAGGATGACGCTGAGTAGACCAGCGGGGCTGTCCCCCCACAATCCTGTGTCCCGTCTTACTGTACACGACTGGCCTTCCCCAGTCCTTGGTTCCCTATTTCTTTTCTTGACTCCTCGTGGGGCTCTGCGCTCACGGTGGCTGCTTACACCGTGGAGCAAGCAAGCTGAGGAAGAGCTGGAAAGGGGCGTGGGAGGCAGGGTCAAGAAGGTGACTGGGAGAAAGCCATAGCTTTCTAGAGAGAGGATTTCTCCACTACTTCCTTCTCTGCTTCCTAAGAGATGGAAGAATATTTTTATAAAGTGCCCACTAAATGCCACATACAAGGGGCACACAGGAAAGTAAGGCCTAGTCAAGCCAGAGTTGATGGCACAAGCCTCTGATCCTAGCATTCTAGAGGCTGTGGCGGTTTGAGGCAGGCTTGGGCTACAAGGTGTGTTCTGGCCAGCTTGGACAATAGGGTAAGACCTTTCTCTACAAAACAAAAGACCAACCAGAAGAATAAGACCCTACCCTACCCCTCACACACAGATCATTACAGAGTCAGGCTAAAAGTCTTTCAAGGGACTTCTGGGACAACACCAAAATGGCATTAACCATTCCTTCCTGGACCCATAGAGTTGCCCCCAAATCAAGCATGCTCCTAAGAAGTGAAGGTTAAATAACAGATTTGGTTTTTTTTAATTAGGAAAATTAGGGACAGAGAAAGGGCCACTGAGGTAAACTCAGAAAGCCTTTCCCAAGTGCCTTAACTCTGGGGTATCTCTTCCCCCAGCAATGATGCCCACCAAGCAAGCTGTGGCCAGGAGATGGCTTTTCCTGCCAGTGATAACTCCTAGAAAAGTGAGACAGGAAAAGAGAAAAAGTTAAGAAAGAGCGTGAGAGAGAGAAAGAAAGAACAAAAGAAAGAGAAAGAGAGAGAGAGGGAAAGAAAGAAAGGAAGGAAGGAAGAAAAACAGATCCATCATATTATAAATTTTTGCATAAGGTTGCTACACGTCTCTACACACTATTTTCATAATTATCTTGCTGCTCAAAGACAATCACTTTGCAGACTGCCACCACGGCTGACGCCTGCTCTGCCTAAGGAATCCTGGGGACTCCTAAACTCTAGAGTTCTTTTGGCGCCATGCGTGGTGGGTCACCTCCTCCGTGAGCCCAGTGTGCGGGAAGAGCTGTGGATGGTGTGAGGGTCACAGGGCATTGGCTGAGAGCCTTCCCATCCATGCTTCTTCCCCTTCAACTACTCTCGCCTCCCCACCCCTAGGGAGGAGCTCCATCCCGGTGACGTCATCCCTATCCCCACCTAACTGTGCCTGGAGTCCTATTAGAGCCCCACAAGCCTCCCCCCTCCCTTCCCTCATCCTTTCTAACGGACAGGCCTCTGCCTGAGTAGCTGAAACCCTAGTGACGAAGCGGCATGGGGAAGAGGCTACGTGTGCTCAGCATGCAAGAGGCCCTAAGTTTGACACCCAGCACCCCTCGTCCACAAATCTGTGTTGGTTACAGAAATGTCTTTTCAGATAATGGCCCTGGATGGCACAAAGATTCATTAAATGTGTAAGCTCTTGATAAAACTGGAGATCTGACCCTCAGGCACAAGAGGGAAGACGGGAACTACAGCAGAACTGACTGTGATAGAAAGTGGTAGGAGAAACAGCTGGGAGATAGTCTTTGGGGATTCTTCTCCACAGCCCCACCGGTCCACCATCCAGCCACCAAGGGAAAGGTAGAGACAGTGAGAGTGTTCACTCATTTGGGAGGGAGGATCCCCAAAAAGCTCTTCTATTCTTAATAGAATGGTGGGGGTGAAGGGTGTGGTCTGGCTCCCAGGGAGAGGTGATAAGTTCAGGGGTGGGGCCTGGGCTGCTGGAGGCAATGTAATTCTAAGCAATGGGCAGTCTCACACAGTCAGTGACCCCAAAAGTGGGAGACCTCTCAGCCCCTCTCAGTCTGGGAGGGAAGGGTGTGGCCTCCTTGAAGCCTTTGGGCAGAGACCTTCCTCTCTGATGCCCCATTGGGTCAGCAGTTCCTGGGGCTCTGCCAATGAGGGACAAATGAGATGGGCTGTTGATTTTTTCCCCTCTGGGCTATGGAGAATTTGGCCACATAAATACTGAGAAATACTGAGAAATCCTCACTTCTCTGCACTTGGCCCTGAGCTGGATCTGGTCCCCTGGGACAGGCAGGGCCATGGGGCACTTGCTTCTGCTTTGGATGGCTTCGGTCATGTGCTGTTCTGCCTTCAGCACTACTGCCTGGTAAGCCTTTGCCCAGGCCTCACCCCCTACCCGGGAAGCCGCTGTCTCAGCTGCACTCACCTCAGGTTTTCTTTTTGGCAGGTCAGTGAACAATTTCCTGATAACAGGTCCCAAGGTAGGATAGTCTTCCACCCTTCCCGTTTTGTTTTGATCCTCTGGGGTCCCTGATGGAACTCTTCTGGGGAAAGAGAAGGGGGCAGGCGAGACGGGACAGCATCAGAGTGCCTCTCCTTCAGAAATCCAGCACTGTTCACTTTTCCGTTGTTGTGTGGTTTCATGGTGCCTGGGATTGACCCTAGGACCTTGTGTACTAGGCAAGTGCTCTCCCACTGAGCAATGTCCCCAGATGGTTCCTTACTGGGAAGCGATCTTATTTGAGTTCTGCCCTCTCCCTGACCCCACGTGACCTGTGCCAGGGAAGCTCACAGCCCTTTCTCCCGGCCCAGGCCTATCTGACCTACACCACCAGTGTGGCCTTGGGTGCTCAGATTGGCATCGAAGAGTGTAAGTTCCAGTTCGCTTGGGAGCGATGGAACTGTCCTGAGCACGCCTTCCAGTTTTCAACCCACAACAAGCTGAGCGGTGGTAAGTTCCCGAGGGACCACAGCTGGGAGGGGAGTACACACAGGTGTGGCCTGTGTGTCACCGTGAGGCGCTGCCTTGCTGTCTGACCCTGGGTGAGGTCCTTTCCCTCTCTCAGCCTGGGGAAGGGAGGGCTCCAGCCCTGCTCAAAAGGAGTGATGTACCAGAGAGGGGCACGGGCAGCTCGGGGAAGTTGCTTCCCTCTTTCCACCGGTCATCAAGCTTGGCTGCAGACGCCCCGGCCTTCTGAGGTGCCTCACGGACCCCAGGAGGGCTGTGAGGGTGGAATGGGATGAGGGGCACTGTCACAAATGCTGGGGCAGGTGCTCGCGAGTGTCCGCATGGGTGTGTCCGCACATTCTCTGCTCCGACTTGACTGAAAAGAACTAAAAATGGAGAAGGGAACCCAGGGAGAGCCCTTGAAGGAGTTACGTTTACCCCATCATCGTGACTCCAGTGCCGACGAAGCTGAAAGATCAGAGTGAGTTTGCCTCAGGCGGGGGGGGGGGGGTGTGTGGAGTGTGTTATGTGTGGTGTGTAGGTGTAGATGTCCGTGAGGAATGTATGTGGAGGGTGTGGGTAGTCTGTGTGTATATGTGTGAGTGTGTACGTGTATGCAAGTGTCTGTGTGTGTGTGTGCTCATGCATGTGTGTGTGTATGAGTGTGCATGTATGTGAGTGTGTGTGCTCATGCATGTGTGTATGAGTGTGCATGTATGTGAGTGTGTGTGCTCATGCATGTGTCTGTGTGTGTATGAGTGTGTGTGTATGCATGTGTGTGTGTGTGTATGGTGCATATGTATGTGAGTGTGTGTGCTCATGCATGTGTCTGTGTGTGTATGAGTGTGCATGTATGTGAGTGTGTGTGCTCATGCATGTGTCTGTGTGTGTATGAGTGTGTTTGTATGCATGTATGTGAGTGTGTGTGCTCATGCATGTGTGTGTATGAGTGTGTGTGTATGCATGTGTGTGTGTGTGTATGGTGCATGTATGAGTGTGTGTGCTCATGCATGTGTCTGTGAGTGTGTGTGTATGCATGTGTGTGTGTGTGTGTATGGTGCATATGTATGTGAGTGTGTGTGCTCATGCATGTGTCTGTGTGTGTATGAGTGTGTGTGTATGCATGTGTGTATGGTGCATATGTGTGTGAGTGTGTGTGTATGCATGTGTGTCTATAGTGCATATGTATGTGAGTGTGTGTGCTCATGCATGTGTCTGTGGTGTGTGCACGTGCGTGTTTACAATTAGGTTCGATAGCGTGAACGGGAAACCGTTTTGAAGAAACGACGGAGTTGCTGAAAAGAGTGAAGGAGCTGCGGCAGGGAGCTTCCTCCCCAGGAACCTGGTTTGGATCTGGGTGTGGCGGCACACACCTGTAATCCTGTCTCCAGGAGGACCCCGGGCCTTAGTGAGCAGGGTCCAGCCAGCCCGAGCTCGATTCAGAGAGACCCAATCCCAAAGCAAGATGGAGCACAATAGAGGAAGACACCCAGTGTTGACCTTTGGCCCCTCTATAAGCACACAGGTACACACACACAGAAACACACACACCATCAGGCCTGCCTACTCAGTGCTCAGGGTCTTTCTCGCTTACCCATACCGGCCTTGGGGCCGGGTCTCACTACCTGGGTACTGGTGGACAGAGGTCTAGACTAGACTTTAGGGGTGTGAACTCCCCATCTGAAAACCACAACCATGGCTGAGAGTTTCATCTTCCCTGTCTGCAGCATGGGGCTCTCCATTGCTGCCTGGAGGAGGTGAAGAGGATGAACAGCGCAGGCACTCTGAGGGGAAGGAAAAGCGGAAAACCGGAGGGAAAACAACAAGGCACCCTTGCTTTCCCCAGGCCTCTGCTCTGGGCCGCTAGGATCCCCATTTCTAATCAGTCCCCGTTTCCCTCCAAAGCCACGAGAGAGACGTCCTTCCTTCACGCTATTCGCTCCGCTGGAGTTGTGTACGCCATCACCAAGAACTGCAGCATGGGTGACTTTGAAAACTGTGGTTGTGATGAGTCCAAAAACGGAAAAACGGGTAACTTGGTGTCTGATGGAGGTGGAAAGGGATGGGGAGCTACAGAACCAAGCGCAGATTGAGGGTTCTGAGAAAGGTCTGGGGGACTCAGTGCTCTCATGAGAGACTCTAGACTCATGGGAGTTCACAGGCTGAGAAGTACAGTTTGCATCCCTGAGACCAGCAATTAGAAAGTTTCTCTAAAACCAACAAGGAACCTTGGAGCAAGAAGGTGGGAGAGTTAAAAGGTCCAGCCCTGGTACAGGAAGAAGGTTGTCCTCAGCCTAAGCTTCCTTCCCATTTACAGACTCAGACCTGTACCTGATGAGGGCGGAGGGGGGCTGATATTGTTGTAGGCCTGCAGGGGTCCAGAAAGTGTGACTACAAGGAGCCTCTGAGATGACTGGGTTTGGATGCCTGGCATGCGCCTCTTTCCTGTGGGCGCAGAGGGCTTGCCCAACCAGTGCTGAGACACACTCAGAGTCAAGTACCTCCCCTGCCCTGTCTTCCCTCTTGCCTGGCACAGTGGCACATGCCTGTGATCCCAGCACTCTGGGAGGCAGAGACAGGCGGATCTACGCAGCAAGTTCCCGAAAGCCAAGGCTACCCAGAGAAACCCTGTCTCAGAAAAACAAACAAGACCAACCCTGTCTGAGCTCCAGACACGCACTGCTTTAGCGTATCTTTTCAGGGCTCTTGTGGTGACTCAGCTGTCAACTAAAGGTCACTCTCTCCCTGGGAGCTGGCTGTCGTGTGCAGAACTTCTTTCCTTGTGCGTAGGCGGCCATGGCTGGATCTGGGGAGGCTGCAGCGACAACGTGGAATTTGGGGAAAAGATCTCCAAACTCTTTGTGGACAGTTTGGAGAAAGGGAAGGACGCCAGAGCCCTGGTCAATCTTCACAACAACAGAGCCGGCAGGCTGGTGGGTATAGGACTCTCCCCGTTTTGACAACCCCTCACAGTCTCATTCACCCGCCAAAGCCACTCAGGAAGACCTGAGGCGGTTGACTCTGATCTTTGCAAGACAGTTAAGTCCAAGAGAAGTGGCTTGTGTGAGACAATACAGTTGACAAACCTTTCTTTCACGCATTACGTTAATAAGTGTGTATCCTCCAAAGCGGGGCCTTCTTACGTAGCCCTGGCTTACCTGGTACTTCACTATACAGCCCTTGAACTCATGGCAATCTCCCATCCCAACCTCCCAAGTGCTGGGATTACAGGCAGTGGCCCCAAAAGATTCTGACCACCTTAACCGCACTCTAAGACACTAACAGAGGCCTATTACTGTCCTAATGTCTGTCTGGGATTTGAGAGGTTGGGACTGTAGAGTCTATTCTTCACCACGAACCAAGGTTCTGGTTGGGTAATGTTGTGAACCCAAATCTGGAAGCAAGTTGGGCCTAGAACAAAAATCATTGACATTTTTCCCGTGAGCCACTTCCTGGATGTCCTGGACACACACACACACACACCGCCAGGAGAGAGGTGCTTTCAAGGCAACTACCACTGCCCTGAGGGTAAATGGGTTCGGATACCAGGAGCTCTTCTGAGAGAGGGTGGATGTGGAGGAGACAGACGGAGGGTGACAGCCGACAGAGAAACCACAAGTCGTCTGGCTTCAACACAGATAAGAGTATCTGAAGTTGTAATTTTTTGTTTTGTGTTCGAGACAGGGTTTCTCTGCGTAGCCTTGGCTGTCCTGGACTTACTTTGTAGACCAGGCTGGCCTTGAACTCACAGAGATCCGCTTGCCTCTGCCTCCGCGAGTGCTGGGCTCACAGGCATGCGGCACCGCGCCCCGCCATCAGTCCCTATTCTAATCCTTGTTTCAACTGGACCGAGAAACACACTGAAGTGACTTGTTTGGGCCAGGAGCCTCTGTTTCGGGCTGCAGCCACCCTCTCAGCACTTGGCCGGCTCTCCACAGAGAGCATCCTGGTCCTTCACCCGTGAAAGGTCTCCTTAAAAACGTCTGCGACAGGGTTGAGGAGCGTCGCCCTCCCCTGTAACCCAGATAGGTGTCCAAAGCTAGGAAGCCCAGATCTAGAATATTCCATTTGCTTCCCAGCCACTGGCCTTCTCCACGAGAGTCATTCTTGCTGTTTTCTCTGTTTTCCTCCCCCACCCCGCTCTCTCTCTCTCTGAAGGCAGTGAGGGCCGCCCTGAAAAGGACGTGCAAATGTCATGGCATCTCCGGAAGCTGCAGCATCCAGACATGCTGGCTGCAGCTGGCTGACTTCCGGCAGCTGGGAGACCACCTGAAGGCCAAATACGACAGCGCGCTGAAAATCGAGCTGGAGAAGCGCCAGCTGCGGGCCGCCAACCGGGCCGAGGGCCGCCGGGCCCCCGCGGAGGCCTTCCTCCCCAGCGCAGAGGCCGAGCTCATTTTCCTGGAGGGCTCCCCCGACTACTGCGCCCGCAACGCCAGCCTGGGCGTCCCGGGCACGGAGGGGCGCGAGTGCCTGCCGCAGGCCCGGGGCGCCTCCCGGTGGGGGCAGCACAGCTGCGGGCGCCTGTGCACCGAGTGCGGGCTGCAGGTGCAGGAGGAGACGGCGGAGGCCGTGGGCAGCTGCGACTGCAGCTTCCGGTGGTGCTGCACGGTCAGGTGCGGCCGGTGCACGCGCGTGGTGAGCAGGTTCTACTGCTCGAACCCTGCTGCAGGCCGCGCCCGGCCCCGCCCCGGGGCCAAGGCCAAGGCCTGGTGACGCCACCGACAGCTTCCGGCCTAGAGGACCCTGGCTGGGAAACAACTGGGATCTCCCAGGGTGGGCCTGGGGGCCTTGTAGGTGCCGTAGACGACCGTGCGGCCTCCTCCCTCAGAGCTGAGATCGGAACCTTGTTCCCCCTGTCTTTTCCTGTGCAGTTATTCTTGGACTTGACTTCAGTAGCTCATTAAAGGAGGAGGTTGAGCCGGTCCTGATGGCACTGTAATCCCAGCCCTCTGGGAGGCAGAGGCAGGCGGATCTCTTGTGAGTTCCAGTACAGCCAAGGCTACACAGAGAAACCCTGTCTCAAGACAAAAACAACAAAACACAACGAAAGAGGGAGAGAGAGAGAAGAAAAGGAGTTTGATTTGGGGGTGCGCAACCTAAGGACCCTCAGAGAATTCGTCCCATTAAGTTTCAGTTCTCGCTCTGCCCAGCTGTGCTGCTGGGAGTTAGAGCAAAGAAGAGCTAAAGGAAAGGAGTCTGGGGGCTGGAGAGATGGCTCAGTGGTTTAGGACGCTGGCTGGCCTCCCAGGGGACCAGGTCACTTCCCGGCACCCAGTTGGCGGCCGTGAGCCATCTGTACTTTCAGTTCCAGGGGATCCAATGGCTTCTTCTGGTCTCAGACTGTGCATAGACATCTGTGCAAAATGCCTATACATGTAAAATGATAAAGTAAAGTTTAAATTTAAAAAGACACGAGTTCTGCTCCACGCTCTGAAGGACGCCCTGTGAAGGACCAATTGCAAGCTCTTGCAGAGAGAGTGTGGCGCGGGGACAGCTTTCTCCTGCCTCCGGGGTGGTAGTGTGCTGTTTTGTTTTGTTTTGTTTTGTTTTGTTTTGTTTTGTTTTGTTTTGGTCTGCTTGTACACTTTGAAAAAGTACCCCACCCCCCGCCAGTTAAAGTCTAGGAAAATCAGGACCCAGCATGAGCAAGGAACTTTCTAGCACATACACCATCTCCAGAGCCAAAAATGACAACGAGTGGGCCGGGACCTGGACGTAGCAGACAACATTGCAGAAGAGCATTTCCCGGAGGGCTACAGGACCTCTCTGCTTTGTTATTTCCCCGGATGGGGAACTCAGCTTCATTTGCAATACGTGCTCCTAGGATACAGGACTTTTCTAAATAGGACTTTTCTTTAAACATTAACTTGTAAAAATGTTGTGCCTGCATGTACGTCTGTGTGCGTGCGCATGCCGGAGCCGGAAGAAGATTCTGAGTTACGGATAGTTGTGAGCCACCGTGTGGGTGCTGAGAATTGAACTCGGGTTGGGCTCTAAAGGGAGAATGAGGCCGGGCTGTCTCAAAAACCAAAATAAATAAAAACAAAAACAACCAACCAAAAAAAAAAACAACAAACCAGCCGGATGGTGGTGGCACCGGCCTTTAATGCCAGCACTCAGGGGCCTGGCCTACGGGGTGAGTTCCTGAGCAGGCAGGGCTACACAGAGAAACCCTGTCTTGAAAAACAAAACAGAAGAAAAACAATAGGAATAAGGTAACAGGAAGACAATGCGCACAGATTTGGGTGTTGTTTCAGAGGAAGTGAGGAAGCCCTTTGAACTCGGGCCATATTCAAAGCGTGTTTACCCTCTGGGCTTTGACTTCCTAGGGGGTCTGTACGCCTGCGCCCCAGGGCGGTCCTCCCTGAAAGCTGTGGATTACACTCTCACTGCCTCCGAGGGTATCTCTGCAAGACGGGGAGAGCTGCCCGCCCCCTTCCCAAGCCGCTGGGCGCCTAACCCTGAATTTCCCAGCCTGGGGAAACTTCAGCGCAGTGGGCCAGGCTCCCCGCGGGGAGGGTTAACGAGTGAAGCGACCCGACCCAGCAGCCAGAAGCAGCCAACGCTCCCAGGTTTACTGTTTGAGGAACAAGATGCTTCTGTTTCTTTTTTGACTTGCCTACAATAAACAAAGGTTCTGGTCCCTGGAAAGAATTAGAGAGTGGCATTTTTTTTTTAAAATGCCTGAGGGAATAATCAGTTCATCTTTTAATTCTAGTTTTGTTTGTATGCATGCGGGGCGGGAGGGGCCCCTGCACAGGCCTGGCCGGAGGAGGCCAGTAGACTTCCGAGTCTTTTAGAGCTGTAGTTACTGGTGGCTGAGCCACCTGCTGTGGGTGCTGGGCTTTGAACTCGGGTCCTCTGCAAGACGACTCCCTCCAGCACCAACAACCAGTTCGTTTCAGTTTTTTTTTTTTTTTAGTTTCAGATTGTACTAATAAAGGGAGTAAAATATTCACTAAGGGAGTTGGCATCACAGGAGAAACCACTGGTTTCTTTTAAAGTGCCGTTAAAGTCTGGACTGACCTCTATAAAATCCAGTTTTAAAACCCCGACACGTGAGTGACGCACGCCTGTAATCCCAGCACTTAGAGAGGCAGAGGCAGAGGCAGGCGATCTCTGAGTTCGAGGCTAGGCTGTTCTACAAAGCAAGTACAAGAGAGCCAGGGCTACACAGAGAAACCCTGTCTCGGAAACAAACAAACAAAACCTCCACACATGTGTCAGGGACCAGATATAATGGGGAATCCATAGACATGCTTTTCTCGGTGACATACATCAAAGCAAAGGCTTAAAAACACATGACAGTAACGGCAGAGAAAGCTAGAGTGGGTGACATGGGGAGGGGGCTTGATACGGAAAAGAGAGAGACTATATGGGGGGCAAAGGCTCTGAGCAGGAAGCCAAAGAAAATATTATTTTCCCGGGGACTAAAAACTAAAGCATGAAATTATGTAATCCTGAGTCTCTATTCTCAAATAAATGTTGATTTCAAAGTCCCCAGCCTGACACCCAGTTTGAGTTGTGACACGATGGTAGGGAAATGAACAACTCGGTTTTCTCCCTGTGTCCCTAACAGAATTTCCATCCAACGAACCCAAGGCCCCTGATGCCTTGACTTTCCACCCCTCCCTCCTACGGGGGAGGTGTTGGGAAACAAAACCATCCCTGCTGCTCTGTTGAGGAAATCACTCCAGGAGAGCTTGCCTTGTGATCCCTGTGGGGCCATGGAGAAGTTTTTGTTAAGAAAACACAAAGAACTCTGTGGAAAGATGGTCCAGCACCCCCTGAAGCCCATAGTCCACCGCTGTCTTCTTCTGAGCCTCCCCCACCCTCATCCATCTTCCCTTCAACCTCATTCAAATTCATCCGTTACAGCTTGGCTCCTGCCTAACAAGCTGGCTTTCATCAAGGTGACAGAAAATAAAACTCACATGTGCAATAGATTCAGGGTGGGAGACAGGGAGCTGGGCCCACGGTTAACGGTGTTTCTTGAGCACCTGCTGATAGGGGGATTGGCTCAAGGAGGGAAACTTGCACCTGAGTCAGTATTTCATGAAGTCCAGGCACCACATCGCTTCACCTGCAAAACCGACTCCTGTGTTTTCTGTTCAGACTAAAAAAATACACTTATGACAGCCACAGATCCCATCGGACTCTTTCCCTGCTGCCTTCTCTTCTTTCTTCCCATGGGGACAGAACTAGGGACTCCTGAAGGTGCTCCTGAAGGCTATTTCCAGAGGCTGCTGTAGCAGTTTGGTAACATTCAGGGTACAGGAACCAAGATGGGAAGGGAGTATCAGACCTACCAAATGACAAATGACACCCTTTCCTTCAGTCTTCAAACATCTAATTAAAGAGTTAAAGTTACTGGGGACTTGGTATAGCTCAGAGTAAAATATATGCTTAGTACCAGGTCCTGGGTTCAATCCCTGAAGCCCCTTCAAAACACCCCAATGTTTAAGGCTCACAATCATTTGGCCCTTATAGTGCCTCAGGGAGGGCAAGCACCCCAGTCTAAAAGGAACAGGGAGGTGGGTTTGAATTCAGACCTGTCGACACATAAATTTAAATTCTTCCCTTTTACAACCACTTCCCCCGTGGGGAGCCAAAAAATCTCCGGGAAACACTTCAACCATTGTGACAGTTTTGTGGAGTGAGGACCATTCATATGCAGTAAAAGGTGTCTTTCCCCTCCCTCTTCCACAAGTGAGAGAGTCAGAGTCCTCCGCCTTTCTCCGGAATAAAGACCTTAACTTTTGATTTGCAAAAGCCATTCTTAGAATGATAAGGCAGATGGCCCGGCACCTGCTGGCTGGGGAGGGCAGACCTCCAGTTCTCCAACTGGGCTCAAAGGAAAAAAACAAAACACTAATCATTATGGATTCATTAGAGGTCAAAGTTTCAAGAGGGGGTGTCAAGGGAGAGTGTTTAATTCAGGAGGTTGAGGAAAGGGAAACAATCTCCCAGGGGAAACAGGGAAACCCCAGCCCCTCTTCACAAACTGCCTGCGATCCTCATTGGTGACGGAAGACACAGGTTGGGGAAAAACGGAAAAGAAAGTAATGACTGCTGCAAAGGCTTGAAATGCAGCTCTAAGCCCCCCCCCCCCCCCCCCCCACCCCCCCCCCCCCCCCCCCCATCCCGCTTCTCTCCAGCTACAGGAGGAAAGACCCCTCCACAGCAGAGCAGAGAACAGACCCAGCCCCGAGCAGTCTCCACGGCTGATACTCTGGTCAGACAAACCAGGCTGCCCTTCTCAGGGGGAGGCAACAGAGAAGGGACGCGTGACGTCCCAGGGAAGTGTGGACGGAGTCAGGCCATGGATCGGCGGGTCAGAGAGGCTTCAGACTGCACCTTGTCAGAGAGGCTAGGGAGATGATAGATAGGGCCTGGGGACATGGACAGGAAATAGGTGGGGTGCAGAAAGGCCTTGTGGTTGGGGTACTAGGTGCCTGAGAACATAAATGCAAAATTATGATGAAAAAACAAAAACCAAAACCTGACAACCAAAGAAAAAGATCATTTCACTAAGGCTCAGAGAAAAAAAGTTTAAATCATAATTATCTGACCCTGAAGTTAAAACTCTAATAACGATGCCAGAGTACTCATGCCCTGCTGGTGTGGTGTAATCCTAGCACTTGGAAGAGAGAGGCAAGAGGATCAGGGAATCACAGTTATTCAGCTACATTAGACTTGGAGGGAAGGAAGGA